TGATGTAAACAATGTACTTACAAAAAGTCAAAATTGTCGGCGATTATAGCTGGCATCTTGTAACTTAATTTACTAATCAAAACACCAAGATAAATATATCCAATTAACAAGATCACTAATTAGAGAGTGCTAAAATTATCTACATCTTCTTCCAGCATAAACAGCAGATGTTAGTCTGTTACAGTGGTATACTGGCAGCATATAACCTCAATCTCTATTAACTAGTAACTCACTCTACAGGCCGGTGGTTGGCTGGCAATCTGGTTTTTATTTGCCATCTATTTTAAGATATAAGAACCAGTATGAGTATCCTAGATCTTTTAATCAAGCTCACCTACTAGAATAGCATAGTTGTTGAATGAAAATTTTGTATACACCGTTGGCAAACATTTAGGTTAATATCTTATTTATCATATGACTTTAAAATAGAAGACACATTTTTTTTTGACAAAATCATGACCTATTAATATAAAAAAAAACCTGTTAAAACAAAACAGTGCAAGTGGCACAGAGTTCCATCTGAAACTTAATTATGGATATGGTAAAAAAATTATTTGGACAATACCGTACCACGAGGAGGCATTTAGTCACTCTGAATTCATTATACCCTACTAATAAAAGTATAAAGAACAACTTTCCATTAGTATGATAATATGAAATCCATTAAGGTCTCTTTGACATCATTATTAAGAGTATCACATTGTAGTTTAAATCATTCAAAGCAGTAGAGATAACATTTGTGTTTTGGTTTTGATGCAATAAATAGAAGTATTTAATAGGCCTAATTATAACCTTTTGAAGTTTACAATGACAGTGTGATAATTCAGTGTGTATTCAGAAGACAATATCATTATGTAAGCACTTATTCAAGTTATGATTTGCTATGTGTTTCATTTCAGGAACATGGACAAAAACCTACCTGAAAAAAAAATCCTATGCCATGGCAAAATGGATTAATTGTGGTAAAGATACAACAAAAGGTCCAGAGTAATCTCCCTTAATGCAAAGATAAGCAATACTGAAAATGAAAGGTGATACAGAACTATGCCTGGTTTTAGGTACACGAGATTGAAGCAGTACTGGTTGGACTAATTTTGAACATTAAATCTAAAAACCTTTATTTCTACACCACAAGTAGCTAGGCTTACTTGTAATGTAGTAGGCCTAGACAATGACGATAGCGGCACGGCAAATAATAAACAATAAAAAAAAAACTGTATTTTTTTTGTCCGTCCCTTCTTTGCTACACTCCATCAACATTTCACCGTAGTTTTATTTGACCCCTGTGTAATTCAGTTATTTATATCTGGATAATATTATGAATACATTAGCCACATGCTCACCTTCCTGTCATAAATACCATCCAACTTTATTTATATTACATTCACCAACACCTAGTTTATCATTTCAATAAATTACACGAAACGTGCCATGCGCCAACTTTTACTTCCGGTTTACAAATTAGGAAATGGTTTTCTGAATGTAGTCTCGATTGTCAAACTTAGACTTGAAAGATAAGAAATTCATACAAGATTATCACACAAAGATTTGTGACAGAGACCTGAAAGTGTTGTAGGCGTTTTGTTTTTTAAGGAAAAAATTCAATGAGGGTCCATCCCATGTTATAGTTAGATCATATGTTCTTAACCATTTAAATTTGATTAACAAATTGACATGTAAATTGCCATTCGTTCGTCCAATCTTAACTTAAGACTTATCCATTATTGCATTGTAGTAGCCAGACTACAGAAAGAATATAGATAGACCTGCGTCTCCGGCCTTTAAAAAAATCATCATTCTCCTATTTTCCTCCCAGTGTCTTCCTCAGCATATCTCAATTGCTTATGTTTGCTCAATACCTGCTCAATGACTTCGCATTGTTTAATACCCTTTTATCTATTGTCCCTCTTAATCTCTATATTGTTTCTTGTTGGTATATATTTTGTTATGTTTTATTATCTAGGCATTACATCTGATGACGACACGTGTATATTGTGTTGAAACGTTATGTGCCCAACCTTATTAAAGAAGTGTGTTATATTCCATAATATTGTCTTGTGTTTTGTTGTGCTCCTCGCTTCTATATGTCGTTCAAATGTTATATCTTTAGAAAAATTAATGTAAATACAGTGGTGTAACCTATATTCGTGCATAAGGATTCATCACCGAATTTCGTCAAAATAAAAAAACGGGGAAAAATTGCATGTCTTAGAGATGTTTTTTCAGATACCGGTATTTTAAAAAATGATTGAAATTTGTTGTTTCAATTTTCTTTATAAATCCCTCACCTTGATCCATATTACACGAGTAACCAACTTTTCGTGTAGCCTACAATGTTTGATCTATACATAAGTCAATAAAAATACGTTGTATGGATACCCCGTGGTATAGGCCTAATTATCTTAACATTTATCTTTAATATCAATTCATTATAACTAATGACAATTCCTTCAAAGATCAATGATTTAAAAAATAAATAGTGACTGTAAAAATAAGATAAGCAAAACGCAACATATATTGTGGCCCATAGAATTTTTCTGCCGACATGATATCCATTAGTTTGTCATGTGACTTCAATTAATTCTACCGTATGAGGTAGCCCTGACTCTGTGACTTTGTTCACTGGAATATATTCTAGCACACGACACTTGAAATTCCGATTACAGCTGGGGATTATATGGGAAACTGGCCGATAAAAAATTGTGACATTTGGTAATAATTGAAAATTTTTGTTTAGGGCCTATGTTAGAAATAGATAATAAATTTGACATTACTTTGAAACGATAGGAAAACTCTGTAGGTTGAAGTTGTACCTAGAGATAAACCATGTTTATCAAAACATGCAAATGCAGAGGTCACCCGAGGTCGCACATTTAAATTATGTATCACTTCTGGAGCTGTACGAAATTAGGTTCGCACGAAATAAGGTTACTTAACTGTATTTGAAGGGATTTTGCGATTGTCTTGCAGTTTTTGTACTTCTGAAGACGATTTAGATACATTCAAGACCCAAATCAACCATCGAAAATGGCGAACCATGGCCCTAAATATAATCCTGTAAACCAGCTATGTATACTGTTTTAACCTAACGCTAGTTGCCATTCGGCAATCCTCGGCAGTTTCCGCGAAGCTGAAAGCAGTTGAATGTTGCAGAGCGCAAGCGTAACTTTCCCGGTAGGCCAGTTGTCAGTCAAAATGTCACGTGATTTGTAACTATTAAGTAAGCCGTTTGATGAAAAATTGTGCTGATTGTATAAAAATGATGGTTATAGATTGTGAACCTTTTGCTGACGTTGATGAACATAATCTCTTACTGTCCGAGGTTTTAAATTTACAAATGAAAAAGGTAACAAACGCCCTCAAATTTCTCCTTCGAAAAAATTTCGTTGTTGACATTATTATAAAATCAAAATATCAAGACAGCTTGCAAGACAAGGTAATAATATAAGCCTACGGCCCGTTGCCCATTTGTCAGAAATGATAACAATACTTGTGCCAAAAAAAAAACCTGTTTACCAGCAGAAATGTCTGGTTTGTTTGTTTTGCTCTTTTTTCCTTAATTTCTCCTAGAGCCGAAGCTCTTGAGGTCGGGGATCTGGGGCTACCCAGAAGCCTATGGGTTTCAATATGACCTGAGATGAATTTTGAGCATTTATAAGAGGGCTTAATCTTCACTTCAAAATAAGGCCTCCCACAGGCCTGAGGGGAGGGTTTTAATAGGTTTGCGACTAGGTCGCATCTCTTCAATCAATGCACCGAACTGAAATCCGCTCGTGAGTCACTGACAGAGTACCTGAAAACTAACAGCATAGGCTACCACTCACCATACAGAATGTTTTGTCTCCACCCACGGACCACTGGTATACGGTAATCATAGAGTTATAAATAGAGCGGTAATGGAACAATTTCTTACAAAATCTGCCCTGAATAGAAAGGCTAAGTTTTTTTTTACCCTGAAACTTTAAGTTTCTAACTTATTATACCCGCGCAATGTAACAAGTTTCATTGCAGAAACATAGAGAACATCCTTTCCTATTTTGTTGAAAACTACCCCCACACCCTCTCATTTTTCACATTCTCTGTTCTTTTTTTCTACTTCTTTCAGTTTTCCAACAGTTATCACAATCAGAACGAGTATTGAAGAGTGAAAAAGATCGAGTAACTATCACGCCACCGCCATGTCATTCGACCCGACCAGATATCACGAATATTCAACAACCAATCCAACAGCACAGAATCATCCAATTTGTATCAATCCGACTACCAACAACTATCTAGCTTGCGATGTCAGCAGCCGCTGGAAGCGAACGTTAATTTGTCATCTACCAACCAACCAACCAACTAATGTTGTGCATTGACAACAGTCGACAAATAAGGCCTACAGTAGAATAAAATGGAGGAACTATTCTTGATATTATCATTAGATCTAGTACACAAATTCAATAATAGTTTAGTTGTGGTCTGATAAAGGTTGAATAAAAAATATAGTTATCCCCCCTCTCTGTATACCAAATGCGTATCCATCGAGTAGAATAGGATTAACATAGTAAATATAAAATCACTTCCATCAAGGAGGTTTACAAATAACAGTGATTGACTTTCACTGAATTTTTACATCCCAATTTCAGAACACCGTCAATCACTTAGCTCGCAACACCTTTTTTCACATATGAATAAACGATAAAGATCGCATGTTCTAGAAAGAACGACGTGCGTCGAATGAACAATAATACACGCGTGACACCGAGTCATTTGGATCTGTAATCAGACAAAATGGAGGCAGTGGGAGTTTTCTTGTAGAGCATCGAAGACAAAAACAACTCTACATGGCGGTTGTAAGACAACAGTGTTTGCTAATCATGTGCATCATATTAAACAGCGTGATGTCTGCCGATAAAACTGATCCAAAGAATATACAGCCTGCAATCGGTGCTGAAAAGGAAAGAATTGTGTCAAAGCAACATATCACCGACAGTTTGACAATTCTGATGTTATTAGGTTTATTGCTGCTGACAATTCTTACAATATGGTTTTTCAAGTATAGACGAATCCGATATGTTCATGAAACAGGATTGTCAATGATATATGGTAAGCTTTGTGGTATTAATGTTTATTGTCTGTAAGTGTTACAAAAAGGTTTGTAAGCTTATCTCCTATATGCTGCAGTTATGTCAGAGCCAGTGACAGAGGAAAATGAAGAGATAACTATTAAAAGTACACTCAGACTGGACTACTTATGTCATTATGAAAATACTAGGATCAATGTGGAAAGAAATTCAGACTAATTATTAACATCAAAGGGGCATTGGGAGTTTATTTAGATGTGTAAACTGGACTTAATATGCATGATATTTGGCCTATATGTATGTCCCTTGTAGGCCTAAGCTTATAGTTTCTATATGTTGACCTGGCGACAGAGAAACCATTTTAAACATCAAATTTGAGAATTTGTTGAGTTAAAATACATGACGTGATTTTGCGCTGACAAAGTACAAACCTTTAACTTTTGGAGGTACTATATGATTTTGGCCTTGATTATGAAAAAAGGGCTAGTCTTTCTAAGTGCTAAAATTGTAGGAAATCTCTTTAAATAAACTAATAACCTCAATTTCACTTTATTTTTCCCTCATCACTTGCCTGAATATTGTATATCTAAATAAATGGAAATCTGTGTGTGTACTAGTCTAATAAGCTTTTTTAGTGGACTGTGGGCGTACTGGTAAAACTAACTCTAGTTTTAAGGGTACGTCCCTGTTAATGTTGGTACTTTGTCTACACTGTGTAGACAATATTTATGAACCAGCTGTGAAGTTTATGTGTGTTGAAATTGATCAAATAAGCACAAAAACAACAAACTTATCCATACTAAGGTCCATTCATGTCAACACCTAACTATGTTGATTTATCACAAACTTTAGATCGATCTCTGAGTACCAGTAGGTGTAAAATATAAAATACTGGAAATGTATTAAGGTCATTTTACTGAAGGGTCATAGGCCATGGAGGATTTGATTGGCTGTCACAGGAGTCTTGAACTTATAGATATGCGACTATATGTACCCATTCTCTGTCAGAAATGGCCTTACAACTTACTAATCGATGTACAAGCAAGATAATTCTGTTAATCGAAATCTTGTTCAAAGGTGTTTGAAAAAGAAATAATCATTCTATAAAATACATTTATAAATTTAACTACACTCCAGCATTGTGCCGTCTCAAGACAAATGGACTGTCTAATATAGATTTCAAACACGGATATAACAGTAATTATACACTCGATATGATTAAGATGATAATTTACCATACATTTTAATCTATAACAAATTTATTGTGTTTTTTAATTCGGTGTAGGAACAATTTAAAGATTACATTTTGATGTAAGCTAAGACAGTATAAATTACAAATAAAATCTTTCATTGCATTTTGCTAAAACTTGGCAGGGTGATGTGCATTCTGAATTGATTTCTGATGAGTTTAATTTTCAGTGTTTTCGACTTAGTAGACTTATTGCCCCTGAGTAAGTAATGGTATAAATGTGTGAAAAGTATGCTGAAACCGTAACAAATTCAATTCCACAGTAATCTGAGTTTGAGTTAACTGATAAATGATAAATACTGTTATCATAAGTATGTGTAACTAGATGACTTTTTTCAACAATTTATTTAAATTATTGCCAGATTTATTGTGACAGATTTTGAAAAAACTTGGTGTGAGTGTTTGTAATGCTCAGAGGATGAACCCTTTTGAAAATCAGAAAAAATAGAAAAATCATTTGATGAGTTAATGCCCTTCATCTTGAAAACACTTTCAATTTTGAGCTCTTAAACAATCTAGAAGGAACAATTCTAACTGGATTTTGACAAAACTTGACGAAATGGTTTATTATCACCAAATGTAAACGCTGTAGTATGCATTTTGTTTTTGCTGATTTTGACCAAACCTGGATTAAGCATTTATTATTAGAATGAACCTATTGAGAATCATATAAATTATAAAATATATTTAATGTGAGGTATTGCCCTTGTTCTTGAAAAATGTTCCTTGTAAACACATAAGAAAGCACAATTCTTGACATATATTGATGAAACTTGATGAAAATGTTTATTTTTACCGTAGCATACACTCTTTTAAAAATAAAAAAAAAGCAAAAAATATTTAACAGGAGTGTTGCCCTTGTTCTAGAAAATGTGTTCAAATTTTAGCTCGTAAACACCTTAGAAAGGTACAATTCTTGCCAGATTTTACCAAGTTTTGTCAAAAAAGTTGGAAAGTACTATAGGTTGAATATTTCATACATCTTTTCTCAAGGGTTTTTCTATCCTTCATTTCTTATCTAACTGAAATTTCTCCTCAATTTAAATTTCCAGTACATATTATATTGATTTTACAACATATTTCATAGAGAAAAAGCACAAATTAAAAGTAACATCAAGAGCAACATGTTTTTTGAAAAGGCTGTGAATGGTGACAATCAATGCATTTCACTTATTTGTTTGGAAAATGCTAATTACTCTTGACATTTTGGACAAATCTCACACTAAGAACTGGGCAAGAAAGAATTGACCTTTACAGTTGGATTCTAGAACATTTCTCTAGATTTTATTCATAAATATATAAATATTAATCAATAACTAGCAGAGGAAATTATGATACAAATAAAGCTATTATAATACCAAGATTTTATCATTGTGTTCATGCTATTAATAGATGCATAATAGAACTCAGATCGCTCAAATATATTCAGTTTTAACAGATTTCAATTCTATTTTCATTTCATCAATGTCATTGAGCATACGAAACTATATATGGTTCTTACATGGAAAAAACACATGAACATAAACCATTCTTAATCACTTCTTCGACTGTGGAATTTTTAAAAAGGCTACAATGTTTCAACAAAGTCTTTAAATTACATTTAAAACCATATCTGAACCTTTAAATGTGATTTGAAGGCTATAGTTTGTTACCCTTGTCTGTCAGTACTGGATAACCGAAATGGAGAATTAACAATTGGTATCCAGTATTGTAAATATTTAGATGACTGTTTCACTATAAGCTACACTGTTTTAATTGCATTTTCACAAGTGTTTATCACTGTATGCCATACTAATAATTGTTCATAATTGAACTGCACTGACTAAAATGTTTGATTTGACATATAGAAAACTGGATGAATTGAAGCCATACAATACAAGTTTGAATGTCATTTTGAGACTTCAAACGAATTAGATATACATGTACTGTTAATGAATATTATTCTCTGCACCAGCTTTTCCACCAGCATTTTTCTTCTCACAAGTCATATCACTGCTGGAGTTTCTGTTTTACTCCAAACAATTAGGATTCTCTATTATACTATTTGTTACCCATTCACTTTTGTAAGCATTTCAAAAGAGTGTTCATCTCGAACCAAAAACATTGAAAATTTGTAGCTCTTGAACTTGAATATTGAAAATGTGTTGGGGCCCATGAATTTCAGATTTCAATACAGCTTTGTGTTTTAGGTCCATAATATTTTTTTTGTTTTGACTTTTCAAAGGTCTGTTAAAATTGGTGTTCCATTTCACAATGTTGACTATTAATGTATTTATTGATCTCTGTGTAATATACATGTAAAAAAGTTCTTGAAGTTTTCCAGCTGTATAAATAAAGTTTTTTTTTATAAAAATTTTATAGCAGAACACTTATATTGACAGATGTATGAATATAATTAATAATTTTATTGTTATTCTGTATATTATATATATGCTTAGGTTTCTAGTTTATTAGGGTTGTTAGTGATTTTGATTTGAGTACTCATTTACTGTTAGAGAATGGCATTTCTATTCGAAATTTCATTGGATTTTAATTAGAAATAATATTTTGATGATCAGATATGCTATTAATGTGAAATGTGAGGTGATTAATAATGGTCTTAGTTGCAGAATAATAATTAAATGTGGACTGATATTTTGAATTGAAGACTAAGCTAGCATGTAAACAGTTAAAAATGGGTTTTCTTGTCATTGTTTCAACTATTACAGGATTAATTGTGGGTGCCATCATAAGATATACCAGATCAACTAATAAAGAACCATCACAAGCTTTTGCTGGATTGATAAATAAGACGATGTACTCCTCCTCCCCACCAGAAACACTGTTCATAGAACTACCTACTGACAGTGATTATACTGATAATCAAACTATTAAATATAGTTTAAGTGGAGTTGTGGAAACCACACAATCTGATGCTCTCCTGGAACAAACAGTAAGTCATATTACGTCATTCTTATATTAAGTTGAATATTGCAGTTTTAGTCACTTCTTGAGCCTTTTTTTGTTCTTTTTAGGGATTTCTTAGTTTATCCCCTTTCCCTAGTGTTTGCAATACTGGTTTTGATCAACCAAATTTTGATCAATATCCATATGATATTTACCATATAATTACTGGCACCTAAATGTGTTAAAAACAGCTTGTTTTCATGATATAAGTCTATATAAATGAGACTTGTTATACGTATGTGTACTTATAAAGATCTGGAGGAGTTGGAACTTGACAAATATCAGTGCAATGTTTGTACTCGCCACTGGGCCAAGCAGTCCGAGACCACCATCTGCAATAATGACCATGACCCTATAACATGTAATGTCATAATAGAATACATCATGTTTGCAATGGCTTGCACCACAAATATATACAAAAACATAAAAAACTTTAATTCTTTATTTCTCAAAAACAAAATTAGAGTTTTTTAAGAGTCGTTAATGTGATCACGAACTAATTAATCACGACTTCAAAATCATTGCCTTGTTTATGGTTGGCTGCATTTTGAATGTCAGCGTTTCACTGACTAGAGAGCAGGTGTATACTTATATGACTCGCCATTCTGGCCCAGTGAAAACAGCGTAATGTAAACGGTACCTGCCATCCGGGCAGAGTCCAGAACAAGTACAGGTCTTTTCAAGCGGGCCAATTTTTATGGTAGTGTAAACGCGGCTATAATGTATGTGAGCATATGTATCCTTGCCTTGTATAGAAGATATGGCAAATATATGATAATTTTCCAATTAAATTTCAATTTTACTCAATAACTTGATGTGTAAAATCTGTACATGAAGCAGCTGGTTTAATTGTGCTATTGTATAATTATATGATACTAAAATATTTCCTTCAGGTTTATCATTCTTACTCCCTTTTACAGAAAACGGTAGTCCTTCCTTTTAGGCATGAATTATGTTCAATTCTGGGTCAATAGGATAGAATATATCATTATCATTATTATATCTCATTATGCAAATGACATGCGATTTTTATGTTATTTTCATTTTGAAAGTTTTTCTTTTATGAAAAAACAACCATATATTTTTATGTGATTTTATAGATGTCAGTGATGCTGTAGATAAGCTTTCTAGACATTCCTTAACGATATCAAAGTGCATTACAATTTTAGAATGCTTCATCAAAACTGTTTAAATACTGAAATCTATTAAAAGAGTCTCTGTAAACTAGAGTCATACATTATCAATACCCACATAAATACTGAAATCTATCATAAATTAGTGTTCTTATAAAGTTCTACAAGCTTATATGTAAAGATTTTCTACAGCCGCACTGACATCTAGAGTGGGTGTACATAAAGAAAGTTTTTCTTTTCAATTGTGTTTTTATGAAGGCACTGTGTGAAATTTGAGTGAGTTTTATGTAAAGTACAATTGGTTGCAGTGATTAAAAATATGATTTGGTTTTACAAGTGGAATATGTTTACATAAAGGGGGATATATTTAAATATTGTTATTCCACTTCACTTAATCAGTTCTGCTCTCTTCTGAGCTGATTGGTATCCCACTTTCTACAGAGATATTCAAACATAATCTAAGGTCACTGGCTTAAATAGTTTTGTTTTTAAACTCTGAAGTAATATTAACAAGGTTATGTTTGACTCAAATAAATCAATGGACAATGCTACAATTTGAAAAATAGCCTTCTGATCTGTGGTTATGTTTTGAATCATCTTAGTTATATGGGTGAGCAACTCCTCTATCGGTGAATAAATTAATCCAAATCAGCTTTAATTAGAATTAGAATCAATATCATATTTCAATATTGAACATTTTCATACCTTTTCCCTAGAATAATTATAATTTAATGCATAAATTTTCGATTTTTAAAAAAATTTTTTTATTGTAATGTAAAATTTTAAATAATTGCAAAGCTATTGTGAATTCTGGAACCTCGATTTTCAGTTAAGGAGAGCAGAGAAATGAATTTAACCAATTGAAATATATGACAGGAATATTGGTCGGCTATCTAAAGGATTAGATGGTCAATTCATTTCATTTGTGACTCTTCAGGACTGAAGATGTGGAACGCCTGATGTAATCTCAGTATGACATAAGAAATATTGTATACCTTCAGCGCTCGGTACATTGTGGGAGACCAGAATTAGATTCCATTTCATCTCTCCATAGATGATTTCAGATGACATAGTCAAATGCAGTTAAATTAATTCATGTTTTTTGTAGGTTACCTTTGATCCTGAGTTATTTTTTAATGTTATGTTACCTATTATTATATTTGAAGCTGGTTATAGTATGAAAAGAGTAAGTTTTATCACTCATTACAATATCATATAGGACTGTTTATTAATTTGATCTCTTTGCAAGTTATGTCATATTCAGATGAACAAAATTTTAACTTTGGGATATGTTTTTTTCAAGTTTTCAAGTCAAATATCGCTTTCCATCTGAATTTATATTGAGACTTGTACGGTTTTAATATGTGTCTGCTCCTAGCATTTGATGAAAAATCTCAAAGCCTGATTGAATAATTAAACCATAGATTTTTGATGTGATTCTTTCCCATGGCATTTTATAGCTTAATTTATAATTTTCACGCTGCCTGCAGCTAAAAATTATATAGTTTCCTATTAAACAAAATTCCTTTTCTTTACAGAGACATTTTTTCAAGAATTTAGGTGCAATCATGTCATTTGCTTTTATTGGTACAACTATTTCTTGTTTTGCTTTTGGGTGAGTGGTTATCCTTTATACCAAATTAATTTACAATAAATCATTTTTTGTTGCTATTCTGATATATTTTAGTCTAGATATTGATATATATCAATGAAATACTGTAGAGTACTTAAATCTGAAGTATAATTCCAGTGAGGCATTTAGATAATTCTCAAGGCCACAATCGTTGACAGTCATTATAAATAAATACCTCAAATACAAATACCAGTGGTGCTATTTGAGGTGTAGATACTAATCTTCTACTGTGAAAGGCTATGATTTAATTTCTGTTGCTGTCTTGAGTATGTGTTACCTTTTTTTTGGCAAGCTATATTGTATATTGTAGGGGTGTAATGTTTGGACTTACCAGGTTGATGGACATTGACTTCTCGTTGAATAATTGTTTCTTTTTTGGTGCTATAATATCAGCTACAGATCCAGGTAAATATACTCACTTTATTTATATAGGTGCTACATACTCTACCCCAGCTTACTGGCCTTCAGTTTGTCTTAAAAGGTAACCAGGACATTAACCTTTATTCAGAATGAAAGTCAAAGTTCCCAACACTAAAACAGTATGAAAAGGATTTATATAAATGTGTTAGCCTTGAAGTAAAGAGCAGAAGAAGTTGATGATTTAATCACAAGTAATTTAGGAAAGAATAAAATTATAAGATGACTGTATTTATGTGCCTTGTATTTGCTTGAAAAATATATAATTCTCATAATGGCTAATTTTTTTGAAACTTGAAAGTATTGTCTATCCAATTACAAAATTCTCTTCAAATTGACATGTTGTTCTCGTGCTTGATGACAAGCATCATAAAGTTGTCATGAGTATATTTTCTGGATATGAATATGTTCTCATAACTACTTTGGAAAGTTATATTCTATATTTTCTTACAATCATTTTATTTAATATCATAAAACTTATTTTTTTATTGTCATTTTTTCATGATAAGACTACAACTGTGATGTCAATAGTATGATCTGAAGATGTGTCTTAAATTTTGAAATATTATCTATCCAGTCAAAAGGAATAGTTTCATACTACATAAAGCTTATATTTTTTGATATATACCGTCATGGTTTATATTTCAGTATCTATATTGGCTATATTTCATGATTTATATATTTCAGTGAAAATATTAGCTATATTTCATGATTTATATTTCAGTGACTATATTGGCTATATTTCATGATTTATATTTCAGTGGCTATATTGGCTATATTTCATTATTTATATTTCAGTGACTATATTGGCTATATTTCATTATTTATATTTCAGTGACTATATTGGCTATATTTCATTATTTATATTTCAGTGACTATATTGGCTATATTTCATTATTTATATTTCAGTGACTATATTGGCTATATTTCATTATTTATATTTCAGTGACTATATTGGCTATATTTCATTATTTATATTTCAGTGGCTATATTGGCTATATTTCATGATTTATATATTTCAGTGACAATATTAGCTATATTTCATTATTTATATTTCAGTGACTATATTGGCTATATTTCATTATTTATATTTCAGTGACTATAATGGCTATTTCATTATTATATTTCAGTAACTATAATGGCTATTTCATTATTATATTTCAGTGACTATAATGGCTATTTCATTATTATATTTCAGTAACTATAATGGCTATTTCATTATTATATTTCAGTAACTATAATGGCTATTTCATTATTATATTTCAGTGACTACATGTATATCGGCTATACTTCATTATTTATATTTCAGTGACTGTAATGGCTATTTCATTATTATATTTCAGTGACTATAGTGGTTATTTCATTATTATATTTCAGTGACTATATTGGCTATATTTCATTATTTATATTTCAATGACTATATTGGCTATATTTCATTATTTATATTTCAGTGACTATAATGGCTATTTCATTATTATATTTCAGTAACTATAATGGCTATTTCATTATTATATTTCAGTAACTATAATGGCTATTTCATTATTATATTTCAGTGACTACATGTATATCGGCTATACTTCATTATTTATATTTCAGTGACTATATTGGCTATTTCATTATTTATATTTCAGAGACTATGTCGGCTGTACTCATTATTTATATATCAGTGACTATAATGGCTATTTCATTATTATATTTCAGTGACTATATCTGCTATACTTCATTATTTATATTTCAGTGACTATATTGGCTATATTTCATTATTTATATTTCAGTGACTATATTGGCTATATTTCATTATTTATATTTCAGTGACTATAATGGCTATTTCATTATTTATATTTCAGTGACTATATTGGCTATATTTCATTATTTATATTTCAGTGACTATATTGGCTATTTCATTATTTATATTTCAGAGACTATGTCGGCTGTACTCATTATTTATATATCAGTGACTATAATGGCTATTTCATTATTATATTTCAGAGACTATATCCGCTATACTTCATTATTTATATTTCAGTGACTATATTGGCTATACTTCATTATTTATATTTCAGTGACTATATTGGCTATATTTCATTATTTATATTTCAGTGACTATATTGGCTATATTTCATGATTTACATGTTGATGTTGATTTATATGCTCTGGTATTTGGTGAAAGTGTGTTGAATGATGCTGTAGCTATAGTATTGTCAGGGTAGGTTGAATTTAAAGATATTTGATGGGCACCACACCAATGTCTGTGGTTCCTTTTAATCCCCCACCACTTTTGACTTTTGTTTCCTAAAATTTTCCCTCCAGCAAAATTAGAAATTGTAGATTGAAATACTAAAAACTGGCTACCTTGGTTGTAATTACTATAGAAAATACCCGATTTTCCAATTAGATCCATTGGTGTATGTTGATTCTTTAGTTATTCTGCAATTTTCATGAAAATTTTTTATATGAGATATTTATGCATAATATGTTTTGTTTATTTGAATGTAATAATGATATGTTTATTTTTTCAGGTCTGTAGAAAAATATGGCGAACTATCAGCAGGAACATTTGATACAAAGGCTTTCTTTTCAGCACTTGGCAATTTCCTGGCTATTTTTGCTGGAGCTTTTGCCATGGGTTCTGCTATGGGTTGTGTAACTGCCTTAGTATCCTTTTTAGATAGTTTACTACTGAAAAAGTAGTCCTTATTCCAAATGAGTTTTTTATGGTATAATATCTTTTAGAATAGTACACAAGACTTCAAATATTTTATGCCAACATAAATTTATCCTTGTTTATGACAATGGTCTTTGTTAGTACTGAAAGTTAGAGACTATGAAATGTTTTATTCACGTATTATTGCAGCCAGGTGTAATGCTATTAAATATTGGAGATTCATAAAAATACATTATTAATATTATTGATGAAATGTTGAAATATTGATAAGATCGTTGATTCTATACATATAGGATCAATGGTAGGATCAGCTTCTTTACATAAGAGTAAAATTATTCCTTGACCTGTTTGTAGATAACAAAATATACAAAAATACGAGATTTCCCCTTATTAGAAACAGCGTTATTTTTTCTCATGTCTTATAGTACATTTCAAGCTGCTGAGGCTGCTGGCTTTACAGGTATTTAAGATATATATTGTTCTTGATATCAAACATTAATCATTCAAGTCTTTTCTTGCTCTTATCAAGGCTATACAAGAATATACAGGTTCGTAGAGACATTCTGCCACCTGTACAAAATATGCTTATCAATAACTTTCAAAACTTTATGATTTATTTCATAGTGCAATATTTCATGAATTATTGATTTTTTTAGTATCCTATTTTCAGAATTTTATTCTTAATCATATTATGTATTACAGGTATTGTGGCTGTATTATTCTGTGGTATAACTCAAGCCCATTATACATATAATAATTTATCAACTGAATCAAAACAGAGAACTAAACAGGTACATTTCAAGATCTAGTTTATCGTCCATGACAATATTAACAAAACATTTAATGCTCAAATTAAATACCCTTTTTATTTAGTATAAAATGTAAACTGGCTGATATCTAGAACACTTGATCTTATAGTTATTGTAAAAGAGGTTTTTCAGCCGGCGGATCTCTACCATTATGTTTGTACCAAGGCCACTTGAAGCTCAACTTTACACTATTTCAATATCTCATCAGTTGTATGTGTTTCTGTTATTCACAAATTTTAGGGTATTTATTTTAACCACACACAGCTGAATGGTTCCCATTTTTTTCAATACTTGTAAGGCAGGAAAATTGTTCAAGATTGCTATGTACAATAAATCAAATCAAAATAACCTTCAAATTTACACTGATTGTCATGGTTTCATACTGATTATTGTTTTACTTTCTATTTCAGTTATTTGAACTAGCAAATTTTTTAGCAGAAAATTTTGTGTTTTTATATATTGGTGTGTCAGTGTTTACGTTTGAGCTAGCTAAATGGCATGCTGGTTTTATTTGTACTGCTTTCGTATCCTTTTCTATATTGGTCTATATTTATATTTGTATTATAGGAGGTTATGGCAAACCACTTAGAAGTGAATCCAAGTTCTATGCTGGTAACAAGTGCCACCCATACAAAATATGCTTACATTATCTAACATGAAATATCAAGAGTATTCATTGCCTTAACTCTGTCTTAGCTAGGTATACTAGTGGGTAGATTACTTAATGTTTACCCAGTTTCATTTTTATTAAATTTGGGCAGAAGTAATAAAATAAAGGGAAATTTCCAACATATGATGATGTTCTCTGGTAAGCATTACACAATAAGTTTAACTGTTAACTTTTTAATTTGTTCAGAATTTAATACAAATAGAAAAAATTTTTTGAAGCTTGGATCAAAATGATCTATGATCTATACATGAAATATGTGAAACTTATATCAGAATATAATATTGTCTGATATGAAAATAGATTTACAAAAATTTGAATTTGTATTTTAGGTTTGAGAGGTGCCATTGCCTTTGCTCTAGCTATAAGGAATACATCAAGTGATGCCCGACAGTATATGATATCAGCTACAATGATAATAGTTCTAGTTACTGTGATATTATTTGGGGGATTTACTACTCAAATGTTACAATGGTTACAGATTAGGTAGGTTTTCACAAGATCATTTTGTAGGTTTATAGTGGTAACACATTAAGTAGCTTCTAAAACAGTCGACAGATAATGAAGATGTTTTTGTAAATTTTATAGCAGTTAAAGATGTAATTGTGTTTGTAATTAATCATGATTACGGAACAAGCTCCCTACTTCTGAATACATCATGTATCAGAAACTATCAGTATTCCAAACTTGAATCAAAATGTTTTTTAATACAGAGTGGGAGTAGATGATGAGTTAGATAATATTCAAATGCAAGAACCTACAAGATCTGTTAGTCATGTAAGTTTATTTTTATTATTTGGAAAATCACTTCACTTTCTGAGTAATCTGAAAAGCATAATTTACATCCAGGTTGAGCTCAATGAAGGTCACACATGGAATGCTGTGTACTGAATACAATGTAAAGAAACAAATCAGAAAGGCTCCAAGAGAGAGAAATATGATAAAAATCAAGGCACCACTTAAATTGTGCTTTAAAGGATGTAAATAGATTTACCAAAAAGTGATTTGGGCTCCACCAGGAATATGAATTGTGTTTTTGTAATGAAATGAAACTAATGCATTCATATCTTATCATTGGGGTGGTTGGAAAATCTAATCATGTACTAAATATTTTAAACATTGAGCCTTCGTAGAAGGTGATACAGAAAACAATTTAGGAACTCAAGAGCACTGAAAATGAGTAAGAGGGTTTCAAGAGAGCACTATTTGACTATTTTTCCTTCTGACTATATATACAGTGCAACTTTATTTGCTGTGCCTTTGACGACCCTGGTGAGGTCTTTGAGATTGTGAGTATCATGACATTATATTGACTACCAGTCCCCTGAATCTTGGCACCACCATATATAGACATCACTGCTTTACTAATAATGGTAAGTGAATGACTAGAGTTGTTGCCTTTGACCTTGTAAATCACTTGAAATTGAATTCTAACATAAACACCTTCTATTTTGACTAATATCACTGCCCTATGATAGAATGATAGTATTTGGTGAGTAATAAAGACCCTAAATGCCTGAGTCAGACCAAATACATCCTACAATAATTTACCCTGTATTATTTAACATTTTTATCATCTGAAGATACTTGTATACCCCACTCATCATCATTCATTTCTGTTTCATTTTATGGTTTTATATAAGCTTATTGTTCCAATCTATTAATAATCAATTAATTGAAAAAATTGTTTTCCTGCTTTATACTAATTTAATTTGTGCTTATCTAATTTGGTTTTTTTTTAGGGAAATTTTCTAATTAATGCAAACTATCACAAAATATTCATTTGTACCCAAGTTGTATTCAATTGTTTTTATTTTAGTAACATATTTTGATTTTATGTAAAATATGAGTGAGGGTTTATTTTTGAAAAATTATGAATGATGCTTATTGTTTTTAATCTCACCTTACCAGGCTATTTCTACTCAGAGACAATACAGCACCATGGGTCCAACTCCTACTGACCAACCCACAGATCCAACACCTGCGGTTTGTCCACCTTACACTCTAAACACTAGCTTGTTTTATTATTTTTCCTGTAGTGTGGTATTGTATAGGTGTTTTATATTGGCTGGCATCAGGCATTTGGCGGTTTACCTTTTCTATCCTTCTATATAACCCTTTATTTATATTGATGTGCATATCTCCATACTGAATCTCTTCAACTGGTTTTTAGTATTTGATATTTGGATTGAATTTGTTATTTTTCATTAATTATATATAATTTAAATTTAAATTTTTGATAACCAATGGGCAATGGCCTATGCTATATCGGATTAGATTCCATTAAAGTTTTTTGTTTAACCAATTAGATTCTTGAAGTTGTTCACTTGTTTTAAACTTGATGAATATGAGGCAGAGAATAAAATCAACCGAAATTTTCAACCAAAGTCTGTACAGCTCTATAGACTGTAAGCATTTTCAATTCTATTACCAATTTGATTAAAATAAAGCTTATGTTGAAATTATGAGAAACTAAAAAAGAGATTCAGTAAGAGTTTGCCCAGTGACACTGATTAACTATAGCAGGTTAAGTAAATAGTACTATATAATTTCAGACTGATATTGAAGAAATTCCCCCAGCATCCCCCTTATTACTACAGGTACACATTGATATGTTATAACATTATTATAGTCTTTTAATTCTTTATAATAACTTTCAACTTAGTGGAAACTATTATCAATGTATTATCTTTCATTAAAACAAAGATAAACCTATATATATCTGATAGCTATCAATTTCAGTAGGAAAAGAAAACTTTTGATTCTCTGTGCAAAATTTAACCAATTTACACATTGCATTCAGGCTAAGAATCTATAACACTTGATATTGATTAAATATTGCCTGATATTACAATATCATGTGTTTTAAGGTCTGCAACAAGCCTTACACTAGTATGAAGATTTTCATGTTTTTACCTTGCAATTCTACTGTGATATCTAGAAATGTGAGATTTCTATGAGTCCCCAAGTTGGACAGTTATTATAATTTTTAGAGATTATATAATGTTGTTTATATCATGAAATTTATGTTGGTCCTATTCCATAAAGTAACTAATTTGTGAAACAAAATCTTTGCTTCCTTTGAGTTAATATTTGATGTTGTGTCCAGTTCTTCGTATTGGTTGATAGTTGTTCCTCGCTAATATATAATGTTTGTAGTTGCTACCAGCCAACAGTATGCTGTATGCCCTTGGTCTTGTGAAATGATTTCAATGGTACTGTAGGTAGATTGTTGTATTGTAATCTTTTATGTATCTTTTCCTCTCCTTACTGCATACTAATTTATATACATACACTTCACATAACATCACAGTGGAAATTCTATTATAATTATTTGAATATAAATGTTAAATAAATAGAGATTATGTAATAGATAAGACAATTCCAAACCTAATGCTATATTTTCATGCAGGTAATTGTAACATCATGTCATAGATAACAAATTAAAGAAATGTAGCATGCCTGGCATTAAGCCCTATCAAATGAGACAACAAATCGTAGAGACAATTTTGAGAAGATTGCTGTTATTACATATTATTTTCACCTGTGGGAACAAACATTGTCTTTATTAGTTTTATAGTCGATCATAATATCTCTTGTCTAAATTATCTTGGGCTTGGTAGTACATGTGTGGTTATTAACCCATAAAGGTCTGCTAGACAGATTCTGTATATATCAATAATAGAAATATTAAAACAACCTCAAATTTGGGTTATGTTTTAATATTTCTATATTGCTCTACAATCTATGTATTGAGCACTATTCTAACAGTGAAAATATTTTATTATTGTATATCAATGATATGTTTATTGAATTAATCTTTTTGCAGTTTATTCACATTGACATAAAGCAATTCTTATACAATATTTAAAATGTAAAATTTGATGAATTATTCAATCATTGAAATATTAATTAGCAGTAGGCCTACCATCTGATAGTAATGCATGGAAGAGTAAAGGGGCATGTTGTCTTGATACCCACATCTTATCATGTATATTTGTCTTGTATATGCTTGTGTTGTTTCAGTGTGATTTTTGTTGTAGTTTAAAGCCAAGCTAATGTTTTTTTTCAGAATTATTTTGTGTTGTATCTTTTTTCAAACAATTTCACTTTATTGTTCTATGGAAATATAAGATAATTTCAGAAACCATTTTTCAGATCTATGATAAATATGGAGATATGTAATTTTTAACATGTTAATTTAAATATTAATCAATTATCTATATCAACTCTTTTGGGAAACAAAAGTTATCTTATAAAACTTGTTTTGTAGACTCAAGAATCTCAAGGATCCCAAGGATCTAAAAAATATGAAAAAGCCTGGCTAGTTTTAAAATGGTATAATTTTGATATGAGGTAAGATGATCTTAACTTTGTCAGGTAGTTGATATGGATGGTGACATAGATAACACTGTAACATTTATCTCGGCTTACACAGAAAAGGATTTTAGCTGTTCCAATGAATCATCTGCTGGCCTCATTATTGCTAGATTGGAGTTCCAAATATGGTTCTCAAACTCAGAAAGGTAGTAGAATGTGACATTCCATTTATTCTTGGTTGAATAGACAGAAAATTGTTGTGCAGTAATTGTTCCCCATAGACAAGGTGGTAAGGAAACACTTGACCTGTTTAGGAAAATAGGCAAAAGGTAATAATGTCTTCCTGCAGTATTATGCAGTTTTTGTTTTGAAATTTATTTGACACAGTAAAATTTTTTTTTCTAGGTATATGAAACCATTTTTAACCAATAGTCGACCAACTTTAATAGAAACTTTACCAAAATGTTGTTTACCATTAGCAAAATTTTTAACCACTGAGGAACAAATGTCTCAAGTAAGTCTGCAGAATATATTGAAATTATACATTACATTTTTTGGTTCTCAAGCAATACTATAATCTTTAGCATTTCTTGTTATTCTAGCATACAAATACTTAAATAGACTATTTACTCTTGGCCCCATTTTTCTTTAAAATTTAACAGATATAAAATCAAGATTGATGGAGAAAAGTTCATTTTAAATCAATTTTGAATGCCTGAATAAAAATTTTGTCCAAAGCATAGCAAAATGAAATACCACCAGTTGTTTTGAAAAGAGTGAACATGGTTTTGTCTAGTCCTAGTATTATCAATATTGCAGTTTTAGTAAATCTAGAATTTGTTATTCTATAGTTCTTGTTATTTTGAGTTATAAGGCCATACAAAATAAATAGTCTCTTTTTTAGGCCTTTTTTTCAAAAATGGGGGTGAGAGGGCGAAATTATTATTTATAAGCACTTTTTTAGATTTTCAACTGGAGTAAATCGGAGCAAGCGAAAGCATTTATTATTTATTTCCACAAATTTAATGTACATTCAGGCAACAATCAGGCATTTTTGGGCCTGTAAAATAGACTATTTATTTTGTATGGCCTAAATTAATGATATAGAGAGCCAAGCATTTGTTATTTCAGTGTGGATACACAGAATCTTTTTTTTCTAGTGTAGTTCTTTCCAGTGGTAAATATTACATGTTATTTTAGGGTACAAATAAAGATAGAAGAGATAGTGATAGTGATACAGATATGATCATAGATAACAGCCAAATACCAGATTCTCTGGAAACTAATGGAGCTATGCCATATTCTATACATAATACCACAGAAAAACCCCCAGTTCAGGTAACAAAATAACTTGTATTCTTAATTTATTTTTAGTTGAATTTAGCTGCACTTTAAGAACTCAACCATCAAGATGTTTAGTTAGTTCTTTTGCTTGTCGAGCACAGGGTTTAATTGGTTTTTACATCGTTTAACACCGAAGTAAGAATTTTAGTTAAGCTTACTAATACCTAATTACATCAATTTTACCTCAATGTTTTTATCAAAGGAAAATAGAATATTGAATATATCAAACTGGATATCTAAAAAGCTTCATCAGTAAATAAAAGGGTAGAATGAAATGACAGGGTGGTTTTCTTAAGTCAAGTCTCTTGTTTTCCATTGTAACCACAAAACTTTATGTAGCACACTAACCCTCCATCACACCCGAATAGTCAATGACCCCTACCTTCTACCTTAACCCCTACTAACCTTGTTATTTCTGATACCAGAATGGAAAATAGAGCAGGTGAGATATAGTGTGTTGGTGAATGGTAGGAATATAGAGGAAAGGAAGCTCAAGGGATCCATTCTGGATTTATCCAAACTAATTTGAAAACATCAAACTTTCTTCTGTTTTTTATTAGCTTTTAGTTTTATGTAGCCACTCAAGTTGAGGTCTAAAGATGATTATCTTGTTTCCTCTTATCATTAACCTTTCAAAAGCTTTAACCAGTCGAATTTTATTTGGGTCAATTCTGAACATCCATAAAAAGCGTGTTTCAACAACATTCAGTTTCAGTGGACTTGATAAAAACTAGTGCACATCAGAATACACCTTTTGTTTGCTTCACATAATCCCAGAGTGTCATCAAACAGATGAATGTTCAAGAGTGGAATCTTAGACTCTAAATGGAGTGGCTACATAGAAAAAGGTATAAACAAATGGAACTTAGGTTTGGTCTAATGTTAATTTGAATCTATCTTCACTCCTTTGTAGGAATCTATTGACTTTTAAATCACTTGAGCCTTCTTACATATCTGAAGGAATTTGTTAAGACATTACAACTTACAACATTACAAGAAAATGTGTGTTTTATTAGCTCATGAGCATTTTTACTATACATGTTTCAGACTATGGAAGTTTATATACTCTCTTGGGTTTTGGACACTCTAACTTTAGTTTCAGTTTTGAGATTCTTTCTTACTTTCTTAGATAATTGTATTATTGGGAAATGTATTTTACAACATGCATTAAATTTGGGTTTATATATCATGTTTGAAAATAAGTTACAAAGTGATCACATTAGCTGTCGTACAAACAATATATCCTTTTAATTCAAAAAAGTCCTAGTGGACACTGATATTACTTTTTTTCCTATCATGATATTACCTAGCTTTGTTTTTTTTAATTAGAATAGAGGTTAAAGCTAACACGAATGGAAAACTAGGCAAATAGCATGATTGTCTCTTTATCTTAATCATAATAAGATGATTAAACTGGGTTTCAGCAATTTTTAAAACAAAAATCTTGTAAGAAGTTATCAAATTATATAGGGAAAGAACTACTTTACCTTATCTTATTGTCTAAATTGAAAGTGGTGCATAAAATATACTTGAACTGGCCATGATGTTACCTTTTAATTTTTAATGATTCAGTTTCAGATTTAGTTTCGTTTCTCCTTATGTTTATGTTCTATTTCTTTTCATTTTTTTATTTTTTTATTCTATTTTGGAAGAATGAAGATTTGCTTGTTAGAATGGATAGTGATGACAGTCCCATTTTCCCTTGAACTAACATTCACTTTGGAACCAAGTGTAAGAAGAAGCATGATCTGTATATATACTATCACAATGGGATCAAACTAGAGGTGGAATGATGTGAACATATCAGTAACTGTATCAATCAAATATTTACAAGTTAATCATGGTGTTGAATCTGTGAATCAAAAGAAAAACTAAACTTGATTTTATGATATGAAATTCATTATATTTGTTATTTTGTAAAAAAAAAAAATGATCCTAGTATTATATTCTTTGACCATTGGTATATGATGAAAATCTTGATACTTTCTATTACACTGATATTGATATATTACGGTTAAGAATTCCAATATGTTCTATATATTATGTAGTTAAAAGTTGATCTCTCTAGTTTGACCCTTAAAACAATTCCCTGTTGATATACACCTTAATATGTTTTGTTTTGTATTGTATGTGTGGGTGACTTTTCTGAGAAAGTTTATCATTGGATGACAAAGATCCTAACTTTTTTTAACTTGTATCTAAGGAGTCATGATTCAAAATGCCTTAGTTTTCTCTGTAGCATATTTTTAGAATTCAAATCTTAGATCATGTACTCAAGCAATTCATCTAAGATTGTCACTTTCAAATTGTTCTTCTCACATGCAGATGAGGACTGATGATATGATTATCGGAATCAAAATTATAAATAAGTAAGTTCCAATGTTATTAATGTCTTAGAGGAAGAGAAAGATAGATTTTTATTATGAAAAGTGATATAGATTGCTGATATTGATTTCTATTAGCTGGTTAAGCAAGTATTTAGATAATAATGTCTCTTTAAACTACTTAAAAAATTTGAAAGTGAAAGAATGTTGTATATGCAAAGCTAATGAGTGATATCTCGAAATTGGAAATCAAAACAAAATATGAAAGTTATCATTAGTTTTCTAGCTATTAGAATATATATTATATATGGAAATATATATATGGTTTCAATTGTCCAATGTTATATAAAGAAAGAATAGGGTAGTAAATCAAAAAAATTGTAATGGGTATGGGTATCCATGAGAACATTTACAAATGCTCACATCATAAATGATATCACAGTGATTGATGGTGAAATGTCAAGTCAAATAACCTAGTGATTGTAGAATGGTACAGTCTAAGAACAGTGATTGTAGAATGGTACAGTCTAATAACAGAGTGATTGTAGAATGGTACAGTCTAATATAACAGAATGATTGTAGAATGGTACAGTCTAATAACAGAGTGATTGTAGAATGGTACAGTCTAATAACTGACTGATTGTAGAATGGTACAGTCTAATAACCGAGTGATTGTAGACTGGTACAGTCTAATAACAAAGTGATTGTAGAATGGTACAGTCTAATAACAGAGTGATCGTAGAATGGTACAGTCTAATAACAGAGTGATTGTAGAATGGTACAGTCTAATAACAGAGTGATCGTAGAATGGTACAGTCTAATAATTGAGTGATTGTAGAATGGTACAGTCTAATAACTGAGTGATTGTAGAATGGTACAGTCTAATAACAGAGTGATTGTAGAATGGTACAGTCTAATAACTGAGTGATCGTAGAATGGTACAGTCTAATAACAGAGTGATTGTAGAATGGTACAGTCTAATAACAGAGTGATTGTAGAATAGTACTGTCTAATAACTGAGTGATTGTAGAATGGTACAGTCTAATGAATGATTGATTGTAGAATGGTACAGTCTAATAACTGAGTGATTGTAGAATGGTACAGTCTAATGAATGATTGATTGTAGAATGGTACAGTCTAATAACTGAGTGATTGTAGAATGGCACAGTCTAATAACTGAGTGATTGTAGAATGGTACAGTCTAATGAATGATTGTAGAATGGTACAGTCTAATAACAGAGTGATTGTAGAATGGTACAGTCTAATAACGGAGTGATTGTAGAATGGTACTGTCTAATAACTGAGTGATTGTAGAATGGTACAGTCTAATAACAGAGTGATTGTAGAATGGTACAGTCTAATAACAGAGTGATTGTAGAATGGTACTGTCTAATAACTGAGTGATTGTAGAATGGTACAGTCTAATAACTGAGTGATTGTAGAATGGTACAGTCTAATGAATGATTGATTGTAGAATGGTACAGTCTAATAACTGAGTGATTGTAGAATGGCACAGTCTACTGAAAGATTGATTGTAGATGGTACAGTCTAATGAATGATTGATCGTAGAATGGTACAGCCTAATAAATGATTGATTGTAGAATGGTACAGTCTAATGAATGATTGATCGTAGAATGGTACAGTCTAATAACTAAATGATTGTAGAATGGTACAGTCTAATAACTGAGTGATTGTAGAATGGTACAGTCTAATGAATGATTGATTGTAGAATGGTACAGTCTAATGAATGATTGATTGTAGAATGGTACAGTCTAATGAATGATTGATTGTAGAATGGTACAGTCTAATAACAGAGTGATTGTAGAATGGTACA